TTTTTTTTTTTTTTAAAGATGACCTGTAAGAGGATCTTAACCCTTGACTTGGTGTTGTCAGCACCACGCTCACCCAGTGAGCAAACCAGCCATCCCTATAAGGGATCCGAACCCATGGCCTTGGTGTTATCAGCACCGCACTCTCCCGAGTGAGCCACAGGCCAGCCCAGGGCTCCTGATTCTTAAACTCCCTCACCCCAATCTGTCTGTCTATAAATGAACTGTCTATAAACTGATATTTAAAAGCACTTGGCACCTCTGATTTTTAAAGCAAGTTGGTAAAGAATCTTCCTGCAAGCAACTTTTCATGACCTAAAGTATCCCCTGTGAGATGTGCTTTCTCCAACCCAGGAAGGGCCGGGTTGGTTAGGTTCTCTTCGGTTCTTGCTCCCAGGCCCACAGCGCTGGCTTCTGCCAGCCTGAGGACAAGGGGACATTGTACGTTCGTTCACATAGTCAACAAATGATGCCTGAGTGTCTACTCAGAGCCAGACCCTGGGTGCTGGGGAATCAGATGAACAAGAGACATAAAGCTCTTGCCCTCAGAGAGCTTGACTTTCTGCCGGGGGAGATGGACAATAAGTACATAAACATCAGTTCACAAGTTCGGGCAGCGATATGTGCCAGGGACAAAATGAAACAAAGGCGATAAAGAGCCAGGAGGGGCCACTTTGGTTTGGGTGGCACAGAAGGCCTCTGAGGAGTTGTCACGTGAGCTAAGACCTTGATGGCCAGAAGAAAAAGGCAGGCAGGAGTCTGGGGAGGAGGGAGTGAGCTCAGTGGGTGTGAGGGCTAGAGAGGGGACTGGGACGCTGGAGAGTCAGCGGCAAGGAGAGGCAGGTCGGAGAGGGGAGCAGGCCCGATCGTGCGAGGCTTGGGAGGCCAAGGGCAAGAGTTGGGATTTCATGCTTTAAGCAGGAGAGAGAAGTGACTCGATTTCTGTTGTAAGAAGATCACCCTGACAGCATGTGGAGAACAACAGGCTGAGGGAGGTGAGAGTGGAGGTAGGTAGGAAGCTGGTGAGAGGCTGTGGCTGAAATCCAAGTAGGACATGGTGGCGCCTTGGCTGGGGGAAGCAGAAGAGATGGGTGTGTATGTGCATAGGCTGGGGGGTGAGGAGATGTTCTCCAGCCCTCCCCTGGTCCCCCTCAGCAGCCATTCTGAACTCTCCGGGTGTTTTGCCCATCAGTTTCCCCATTGTCCAACCTGAGAGCAGTCTTCAGGGAATGAGAGTCCAGTCTCCTTGGGCTACAGGTTTCATGGCCTCACCTTAGAGCCATGCTACTCTTCCTGGAATATCAGGAAGTTCTTCTCGTTGTCTGCCCTTCCCCTTCCTGCTATGACCTATTTATTCTTGAGAGAGGGGCAAAAGTGGGCAAAGAC